ACACACACACCACACACACACACACAGAGCTGCATTGTGCCACCACATTTTAGTGCATGTGTGTGTTTGGCTACTAATGACACTTGCCCAGCCCTGCTTTACAGGTTCACATTGAAGCTGAGGTATTCTTGTGGTATGTCAAACAGGTAGCCGTGTTAGTCTGTCCAAGTGTTATAGGTAAAAACAAAATAAAAAATAAAAATAAAAAACAAATGAAAAAGACAAAAATGTCGTGGAACCTTAAAGACTGTTATATTTTAATGTGAGAGTTTGTGGACAAGTCCACTTCCTCACGCATAACACAGAGATGTAACATGGCAAATATGGTTGGTTGGTTGGTTGGTTGGTTGGTTGGTTGGTTGGTTGGTTGGTTGGTTGGTTGGTTGGTTGGTTGGTTGGTTGGTTGGTTGGTTGGTTGGTTGGTTGGTTGGTTGGTTGGTTGGTTTGGTTGGTTGGTTTGGTTGGTTTGGTTGGTTTGGTTGGTTGGTTGGTTAAAAAAAGTCAATGGATATTTAACAGTTAGGTGATACAGGTATATCTTTGATATATATGTATATTCTATTGAAGCTTCTGCTGTGAACAATGCAAGAACCTCTTACGGAGTCTCTTCCCAAGACAATTATGTCTGGCTCCCTCTCTGATTTTTGAATGGGCCTAAAACATCAGGATCTTCTAGTTTTCTGCTGATGTTAGTCTATTCTCCTTTTTTTAAAGCTGTAGTTTAAAATGTTGCCAGTGTTTTTTTATTTTATATTAAAATGAAAACTGTATTTATAGTTTTGCTGTGCTTTCTACTTTGTAAAATACTGTGTCATGAAAGGTGGCATACAAATAATTAAATCAGTGTTTTTCAAACTTTTTGAATTTCTCAGTTTCTTCTAATCTGATCCTTTTCTCCACTTAGCAATATGTTGGTGTGAGTATTCTCAGATCTTAATATCTCACCAATAAGCATTTCACTGCTATACCCAAGGGTCTAGAAATTTAAGATGTTTTTAGTATTTTTACCCATCTCTTTATTTCTTTGAGTTCTTCTTTTTTAGGACTCAAGGTGGGTTTGTACTAGATTCAGTCCAGTGACATAATGAAGTTAGTGCATTTGAGGACATGCAGAATACCTTCCCTTCACAACAAGCTAACCACAGACTTCATGGCTGTCCCTGGAACAGGATGGTACACCCAAAGACTAAACATTAAGCATAACACAGTATGAAAGGGAAGTCAGCAGAGTCTTGAGTACAGGGGGTTAGATTTTCTACTTGCCCTTCCTCTGGTTTGCAAGGTACTGTCTGCTGTCTTAAAAAGAATGATCTATCCAAGGGGAAGGTCTTTGTAGTTTAATATAACTCAGGTAGTAAACATAGAACATGTTATCTAAAGCAGCGGTCCCCAACTTTGGGCCTCCAGAGGTTCTGGAACTTCAGCTCCCAGAAGTCCTGGCCAGCAGAGTTGGTGGTGAAGGCTTCTGGGAGTTGTAGTCCAAGAACATCTGGAGGGCCAAGCTTGGGGACCACTGATCCAAAGGATAGTTTTCCTTCGTAGGGATGGGGTAGTCCTAATGGAAAGTAGTAGATCTTTGATTCCCATGGGCTAGTCCAGTGGACTGAGCTTGGTGCCAAGACGGGCATATTCTAAATGTGAGGAATTTATGTGCTGGATCTCTGATGTTTG